TAAGCCGAAAAAGGGAAAAAGCCAATCTTTTTACTTATGCCACATCGGCCTAATACAAAAGCCTAAGGGCCATCTATTGTTTTGAGTTCGAGGGATCATCCTCACTTAATTAAAATCTGAGGGTTACCCTACTTCGAGTTCGAGGAAGCACTTACTAGATAATATTTCGGTTTCGGTCCAAATTGCCTAAGCCTCGAACCTATGAATGCAATTTCATAAGGCATAAATAAAACAAAAAGTAAATAAAGACAAGACAAGGGAAAATACGACAGATCCAGAAAGGAAAGGAATTTTTTATATAAATATCGAAGTTTTTCTTACTAGGGCCACATGGACCGATCAAAAATTCTTTACAAAGGTCGATCGACCTCAAAGCAAAAAGAAAATTACTAGGCCTAGCAGCACGGTCACTATCAAATGAATCTTCTTCGACCTTAGAGTCTTCTCCACCAGATCCGCTCTCATTCTCGAAATCTTCGTCAGGAAATGCTAGCTTCCGAGCCTTTGCTTCCTCAGCCTTGGCGATCTCGAGTTCGGCAGATATGTCAAAACTTTGGGGAACGATCCCCTCTAAAGCCTCCCTTAGGGCCTGCCACTTCGAATGATCCACCATGCTCTTGGCCTGCTCAAGAGTGGCTTCAACGTCGATTTTGTATTGGGCCGCAGTAGCTTGGGCCTTAGAATTGGCCGCGGCCGCTTCAAATCTTGCAACCTCGACCTCTTTGGCCAAACTGGCTAAATTGGACTCAAGCTCTTCGACCTTCTTTGCCTGAACTGAAGCATTCTTTTTTACATGTCGAAGCTGTGACTTGGCCGAATCTAGCTCTGCTTGAATGGTTTCCTTCTGTGCGGCTAGAATATCCATGCATCCCTTGAATTTTTCGGCCTCGGCTCACACCTTATCTATTTGCCTTTGGAAGTCATTGATCTGTTCAAGCCTTTGTCGTACCTGTAGAATTGGATCGTTAGTTGTTATCTCCAACTTAGCCTTGCTATCATGAAGAACTCGGAATACCTGCTCGGCCATCTCAGCACGCTCATCTCGAGGCTCACCAGGTCTACCTGAAGCCTCTCACTAAGAAGCTTGTAAGTATTACATTTCTCCGTGAGGTCCTGGACCTCGGCCTTGAGCTCCTCTCAAATTCGGAGAAAGGCCTCGTGGTGCAACACCGAAGCCTGCAAGAAAGGAAGAAAATGTTAGAGATACCTACAATTCAAAGTCATAAAAAGATAAAGGCCGTTAAACTTACCCGATTCAGAGCATGCTGGGCCTCGTTGAATAAACAGGCAACATCCAATGCATTCATTTTTGCTTGGTCCTCTTCAGTGACCAAGCATCGAAGATAACTTGCCACCCCTACGGGAGCAAAGAAAACTTGTGTAATGAGGAGGAATCCTCGATCACCATTGCCCCAAGTGGGCCTTGAGAGACATCATCTTCATTCCGGGGAACCTCGAACTCAGTTTCTGCGCCGGCCTCGACCTTCTCTTCAGTAGCCTCCCTACCTCGAGGTGAGGCATCTTCGACTCTTTTTGGCTCGGTTTCATCGGGTCGGACAAAGCAGCTTCGGCTCCCGCCTGGCCAATGGTTCCTTGAAGCTCGGTACCAACTCGCACACGAGTCACTAATTCAGAGTTTTCTTCTTCTTTGTACTCATCTCTAGTCCCATCCATTATCTGTTGGACGGATTCCAAAGAGACGTGGATGATATCCCTCTTAGGTTTGCGGGGCCTCCTGGCCGGCCTTTTCCTTTCCGGGCCTGTAGGACTCAGAGCCTCCTTTCTCTTCTTCTCTTTGCCCTGTTTCGGGGTGGATGGGGGGAGAAGTGTCTCTTCTTCAGCAGAGGGGGCCTCATCGGCACATCCTTCCCGAGGCCTACAAAATGAAGAAGATGAGTAAGTACAATATCAAAGCCCCAATGAAACCTTTTTAAGGAAAGAGCATTACCATGGTTACGGGCCTCTTATTGGCCCTTTGACAACTCCATCCAAGCACGTTCGGAATAAGTTTTTTGTGACACCAATCCCTCGACCCATTGCCTCAGGTCGGGGATCACTTCCGGCACATCGGCCGTAGTTGCAACAAAAAAGAAAATTTTGGATGAGGGGAAGTCAAGAAAGCAGAATGGCAAAAATAGATATTCAAAAGGCTAAGCAGTACTTACGTTTCATGTTCCACTTTTCAGGGAACGACATATCTCTGGCGGGGATTAGATCCGAAGTCTTTATTTGGACAAACCTGCCCATCCAACCTTGGTCTCGAGTCTCATCTATGCTCGAGAATGGGGGTTTGGTGGCTCGGTGATAAAGCATGATCACGCCTCCACGATAAAGCTGGGGCCGTAGAGACGCAAGAGGTGATCGAGGGTAAAAGGATGCCGCTCAATCTTGCTTACAAAGAATCAGAGGAGGATCACAATCCTCCAAAATGACGGGTGGATTTGGCCCGAAGTGACATCGTACCTCTTGCAAAAGGCAACGATGATAGGGTCTAGGGCACTTATCGTGAATGGGTAGGTATGGACAATCAGATACCCCTCCTTCCAAGTTGTGATGGATTTTTCGGGGCTAGGCACTACTACATCTTTGCCTACCTAGTTGCGCTCATCTTTCACCTTCTCGAGGAGACGTTCGGTGATCGTACACATGTACCTCGACATGGGTTCACATTGGCCTGGTGTCGAGGGTGTGTTCTCCACCTTGAAATCAGCAGCAGTGGCACATTTCGTCGGAACGAAGTCCGCAAGGGGATGTTCCGCTGCGGCGCCGCCGTCGACAGACTTTGATGAAGAGGCGGTTTCTTTGTGAGGGACAATTTTAGAGGTCTTAGCCATTTTTGAGAACGAGGAAGAACAAGGGTTAGGATATCTGGCGTTTTAAAAAGAGGTTAGCTATAAAACTTGAAGATTTGCGGATGAAGAACTTGAAGAATGCAAAAAGCTTTGAAGATTAGAGCAGAAGAGATTAAAAGTAAAGTTGAAAGAGTGGAAAAGAGGCCTATTTATGGGTTTCACGGCGACGGTTCAACATTGCTAGTGGCCGACCGGTAACTGACGCGCCTTAAATGCCTAGGAAATTGAACTGACAGGACGTTTGGTCACCTCGGTCACTTGCGTCACAATGCTTACGTCATGGTAACCTAAGGTCCGGCTCGAAAACTCAATTCGTTTCTTGTCATTACATTCCACAAAACGAGGGGACTATCTGTATATGGTCAAAATCGGGCTCACTCGATTTTACTGATTACCCGAGACCAGGGGGATGGATCAAGGATCGGCCTCATAGCATATCAGACCGAGATACGAGGATAAGGTACCGAGTTCGGGATACGAAGTACCTGTCGAGATCGAGACCGGTAATGATCGAGATTGAACGGGATAGACGTCGAGCAAGACCGAAGATAGCGTAATAACAGAAAGATGAGATATCCGCTTCTGGTCGAGGATCATGACGAAAATCTCGGAACAGATCAAATCAAGGGCGGTTGTTTAACTAATAATGAGATTTCCTTCTGTAATTAGAATTATACCGTAAATAGGATTCCTCTACTATATAAAGAGGGTATTAACCATTTGTAATCATCTGACATTCACGCGTATCAAAGCAACATATTGCATTTTTATCTCTTGCAAGCTCTGTTGTTCAGTTCATACTTTCACTAGCTTGTTCAGTTGGTTCGAGGGCAATTAGCTCGAGGGCCATAATTGTTCATCACATTAGTTTGCTTTATTTTACTGTAATTTCTATCATTAATTCTTATATTATCGTTTTGTGCCAAGAGAAATCACATATCCTTAAAACCACTTATAAGTTTAATTGTTATCCGATTTTAAGGGTAAACGATATTATAGAGGAAAACCTGTATAATAGTGGATCACATGGTTGATCGTGATTCTGAGTTACAACTTTTTCAACAGGGAGTCAACTATATAAATCAGTGGTCGCTGAATCTTCTCGTGTTACTTTTTATTTCATTTCCCGTTGATGGATTGTATTCCTACACTTTGAAATTCTCTATATCACTATTGATTGAATGATTGAGCTGGGGATTTCGATGGTTTGTCCGTCAAATGGGCTGTTGGGTGTCGGTCACATATCGAGAAGTTTTTGAATACTGACAGTTACGAAAATGTTCGAGATGTTAAAGAAATTATGTTCACCACGTTAAAATGGAGTGGATATATATATATATATATATATATATATATATATATATATATATATATATATATATATATATATCATCAATCATTCATATTTATTCATATCATATCATATCATCATACCATACTAAAGGTAGAAAGCTTCACCTATCAAATTGAATTACAAAAATATCCTTGTTAGTATTGCACCTATATTTTCTTGTTAGTATTGCACCTATATATATTTTTTGTTGTTATTATTGTACAAATATGTGATATACATTGCAGTTTTGTTCAAGAGTAATCGCTACCGTTTCCAGTAAATTGTAAGTTACATTTAGTACAATGAATCGGCCAAAACGTAAGAAACATCTTGGTGTTTGGAGTTTTTTTTGAACAAGGAGAAACTTTTATTTAATACTAGGAAACATTGTCACAAAGATCCAATGGATAATTACACATAGCATTGGTGCCGTCTACAACATTCCGATTTCCCAACTTAGCAAAACTTCTACACGTGCTTTCAAGCACTAATTTCTCCATCCTTGTTCGCCAGCATCCTGGAGTTACATGCTGCAACTTCTAAGCAGTAACTGCAGACTTGAATTTAATTAATTGCTCTTCTGGGAATTGAAGTGTCTCTAATGTAACCATGTATGCTTCACTTGTAACAGATATGAAAAATATGATTTTGCATTGAACTTTAAGAGTTAAAAGGAAGAAATGTGATCTATAGATAATTTGAAAGAACTTATATACATCGATAGTGTAAAGAATTTTTACACTATCATGTTACCTTTATCTATTGTAAAGAATTTATAAATAAAGATCGACTTGGTAGTGTAAAAGTTTCTTTTACACAATATGTGGAGTATTAGTTAAGCTTGTGAAATAGGCAACAAGGCCACAGAATAGCTGAACCTATTACAGAAAATGTTCGATAAATTTTTTGCTAATAGAAATGAAATGTGTAAAAAACAAAAACTCAATAGAAGAAGAGAGGACCCCTTCTTACTATTCAGATCCTTAACCCACATTGTTGTTACCAGCATTTCCCGCAACTTCTTCTTGTACTGGAGGAGAATGAAACTCTCTTCTAGACACCGCGACACAGTGTACTTTCTCGGGCGGAGGAACGTACTGAGGAAGAGGATTCACCGATAGGGGTGCAACCACTAGTGAAGGCGCATGCGGCCTCACACTACGGGGTTGGTTGGCCGCACCCACGGATCGTCTCGCTACTGACGATCCTTCACCCACAGCCAACATGCTACACTTGTAGCATTTTGGTCGTAGGTTCTTTTTAAGGTTTTGGACGAGCATGTTGTTTTGCTCTCCAATTTGAAGATCCTCTGTTACAGCGTTTTGGTCCTTTTCAACCTAATTAAAAGAATGTACATTAGCTTGTTACTCACATATACTATTAATTTAGAGAAAATGACTCACTTTAGTATTTTAAGAAAGTAATTAATCGTCATTAATGGTAAAATAATGATGAAATTACTAGAGCACTTTGATCTATGGGCTAACCAGAAAGGAACCAAAATCAGCAAAGGTTGAATCAAGCATGTTTTGATTATTCTTGTTGGTGCTTTCTTGTGAAAATGCTTCTCCATTCGATATTTTAGTTCCAAAAAAATCCTGTATAATATGCCGAGGGTCACAAAATAGAAAACGAATTAGTAATGTCAAGTAATTTACCATGTCACCAAAAAAAAAAAGAAAACCTATAGTAAGCATATTTGATCGAATCAACAGATATTGTTATTGTAATATGCTAATCTGGAAATATGAAAATAAGGATACACATAGAATCTATGTTTCGATTGCTGAAATTAATTAGGAATATAAAGTAATCACTAAATTAAGGTCCACATTTCAGTTTAACTACTATTGGTTTTCTGACAGAGCTAGGGGTGTTCATGGTACGGTTTGGATCGGTTTTTCCCTAAAAAGAAACCAAACCAAGTAAGTCGGTTTTTCAAATATTAGAACCAAACCAAACCAATTAAGTCGGTTTTTTCTCGATTCGGTTTATGTCGGTTTCTTCGGTTATTTGTCAGTTTTTTCTTAAATATGAGACATACACTACCAAACACATATTTTGGAGACCACATTTTCAACGTAACACTATCAAATCAATTGCCCTTTGAGAAATCTATCATTTACCAAGATATATTGATGATAATTGAATCAAATAGTGATGAATAATTTAAGGACTCAATTAAAAATATATTATTTTTAACACGAAATTGATTCTTACACTTAACAAAAGAAAACTACCAATCAAACTAGAATGTAAAGGTAATCAACTATACTAAAAGTGCAAACTATTAACATTTACCATTAAATTTTTGAAACTTTATATAAAAATATACATATATATAGGTGTAATAATAAATTTGAAATAGCTACTCCTATAGTCGGTTTGGTTCGGTTTTTTCCTGATTAAACCAAAACCAAACCAAATTTGATCGGTTTGTAAAATTCAAAACCAAACCCAAACCAAACCAAAAATTATCGGTTTTTTTGGTCGGTTTGGTTCGATTTTTCGGGTTTTTATGAACACCCCTAGACAGAGCTGTTCTAGAAAGAAATCACACATTATTGAAATTTATAGAAAAACTGTTTTATATTATATGGAACGTTTTGGTGGTTATTCCCTTTTTTCCCAAATTTTTTTATACAAATTTGGAATTATAGAATTAATTGATTAAGAAATAAAATATAATCCATGTAACAATATATCTAATAAAAGAAGAAGTGAGAAAATATGTATGAACTGCTTCTATATGCAACAAAGAAATACTTAGCAACCTTAAGTGGAGCAAGTTCACGTAACAATAACTCCAACATGGACCTATAAAAAAGGAATATTAGAACGAAGGTCTCAATCAAGATAATCTAATAAATAAAAATAAAATAAAATCAAAATCAGGAAATATAAAATAAAAAAGTTCCTTTTAATCTTTGGAATTATTTTTCCAAAAGATTTTCTAATTGAAAATGAGGAATGCCACCTGATATGTGGAATTTTTGGATAATCTCTCCTCCGTTGTTTATATTCTTGCTCAACAGCTTCTCTCTGCATTCATTAATGGAAAATTAGAAACATGTTTTCTTTAAGAAATAAATTAGAAACATGTTACTTACACGTTATAGACCATTACATATATAAATCTACTGATAACTCAAATTTCAAATAAAAATGGTTAAATTACTGAAAATAAATTAAGGATGAGATATACTTGAACGAGAAGATGATTGACGCAACTCTCTTGCCATTTTTCGGTATGCATAGTTAGCCTGCATTTATTTAAATAAAGAAAATTAACTATTTCATATAAAAAGAAGTTCACATTTTCGTTAACAATTTAAGGATCCAAAATTATGGTGTCACAAAGGTCTTCCACAATTTTATCATGTATGTGCAGATAAAAAGTGACTCCGATTTCTAATAGAGATATTTGTTGAGAAAAAAAAAATTACACATAAATCTCGCATTTCTTTAACTACTTAAACGTTTGAATTCGGCAAAAAATCATATGATATACGGTTCATTTCTTTGCTAAACCAAAGATTTGAAACCTTCGTCTATAAATACACGGTTTTTTGCAAATAATTTTTTATGAAAAAATATGTTTGATTATGTTAAAAATCCATGTTTAAAAAAAACATATAACTATTACCTGCAGATGACGAAGGCTTCCTGAAACATAACGTTATAGATCTGATAGGCAGAATAGCTAGGAATTTGTGAAATCTTCTCATACTGACTTCCAGAATTATCACAATTTCGAAACCTAATTCAGGCATACAAAAACATATTAGAATCTTTTAGATAAGAGAGTGCAAAGTCCATCTTTTTAAATTAAAATATCCGAGGTTGAATACATATATGATTATTAAGGTATTACCTCTAAATAATTCAGATTGTTTATTTTTCAATATGAATATATATAGAATTTAGCTTATTAATACATTAATAAATACAAAATTAGCAACAGAAATGATTGTTGATGGTGGTGGTGGTGGTTGCCGATGATAATTTAGCTTGAATAGTAGATAGAGTATTTATAAAAGGACAAATTTACATGAATATTTAACATCATCTCTCTCTTGATGTTTTCAAGCGTCTATACAAGATCTGAGCTGATCAACTGAATGGTTATAGAAAAGAAAAATAAATATGTTTAATGGGCTAATATTTGAATGAATCAGATTAAAACCTCTGTATGAAATCAAACAGGGTTGTTGCCCTATAACAGAGAAAATAAAAATAAAAAAGCTAGAGAAATTCACTTACATTGTTAAATCAAAGAATCAAGAGAGAAAAGCAGAGAACCATAACTTCACAGATGATCATTTGGAAAAGCTTACAATTGAATATATTATTGAGCGGACACATGCATCTTATATATAATGCTCGAAATTTAGTTCTACTTTCTCACTAGATTTTTCTAGATTTATCATATGAATGCCGATGGAATGAAATTAAATTTTAACAGCTCGGCATCCAAATTTCGTACTTCGAATTTGGTAAGAAGATCTGTTTTAAAATGATATTTTAAATTACCTTCACAATTGGAGAGGATTATATATATATATATATTAATATATATATATATATATATATATTATATATATATATATATATTATATATATATATTTATATATTATTATAAAAAAATAACCTTTTTATATTAAGCATAATAACTCACAATAAAAGGACATAACCGCGAATTCTAGACATTAGCCTTGTGATCCTATTAGTTTTTAGGAACATAATAGTACACGTTGGAAATCCTACATGATTAGCCTCTAGGAATCCTATTAGTATAATTATTTTCGGGCATAAATATATAATACTACATTCTAGCATGTAAACCTAATACCTTTAGAAACACGTTAGATTTCCTATTAGTATAATTACTTTTGGATATGGACATATTTTTAACCATGTAATCCTATTTCTTTAGGATATATTTCTTATAAAATTTCTATTACTAATTTAATTGAAACGTATTATATTGTCCAAATATATTAGAAAACAGGAGAGCCTATATTTTATTTTAAAAGCACGAAATACAGTATTGATAGACCAAAATAGCGCTAAAATATTAAAAAGAAGAACTTCACTGTAACGACTCGGCCAGTTATTTTTGAGAGTATTTAGCCCCGATCCCCTATTTATTTCTCTCTGTCTTCATTTTATGGTTACTTGACTCTGGCCGGGGTGGTTGTTCGGGTTCGGTGTCGGGAGAGTTTCGGGGTGGAATGTGACACTTAGTCCTTAAGTATGAGTTTGAGTTGTAAGGAGAGTTGACCGTAGTTTGACTTGGGTGAAGACGACTCCGAAATGGAGTTTCGTCAGTTCCAATAGCTCTGTAGGTGATTTTGGTCTTAGGAGCGTGTCTGGAGGTGATTTGGAGGTCCGTAGGTCATATTCGGCGTTAATTGCGATAAGATAGAAAGTTGGAAGATTTTGAAAGTTTGACCGGAGTTGGTGTAAACGACCCGACTGGTCGTTTCGCTTTTTAGACCCCGTTCTCCTAATAAGACTTCCCGCGCTTACTTTTAACTAATTTACGACCTGCAGGGATGGTTGGTTCGGGATTTGGAAGAGTTTGGTTGAAATAGGCACTCTTGATTCCCACAAGATTTTCTTAAAGGCTAAGTTTGACTTGGGTCAACATTTTTAGTAAACGGACCGAGCTCGTGTTTTGACGGGCCCTGGAGGGCCGTAGGAAAATATGGGACCCTGGGCGTATGCCGGAATAGATTTCCGAGGTCCCTAGCCCGAGTAATGAATTTGTTAGAAATTGTTAAACTTGAAATTTTAAGGATTTAATGAAATTAAATAATACTTTATTCATGTTGGTATCGGGCCATATGTTGGTTTCGGAGCCTGGTACAGGTCCAAAATAACATTTAAGACTGCCCGCAAAATTTGTGTCAATCCGAGTAGTATAAGTACGTTCCGGCGCGTTAGAAGTAAATTGAAGAACTGAAGTTCATAGGTTTGATTCAATTGGTTTTAGGGAGTGATTCTTAAATTAGCATTGTTTTCAGGCGTTCCGAGGTTCGAGCGAGTCCGTTTTATGATTTCAAACTTGTCGGTTATGTTCGGGCAGGGGCCCGGGAGCCCCGAGTGACAAGCGGACGAGGCTCGAGTTGAAGTTAGGAAATTTTTGAAGGAGCTGAAACTTCAGGTTTGCTGTCATAACCGCACCTGCGCCTGCACCTCCGGTTGGTCAGCCGCAGGTGCGGTCCTTCCATCGCAGAAAGCGGCCAAGGGCGGGGAGCCCAGGAAACCGCAGATGCGGCTGCCTCCCGCAGGAAGCGGTTCGCAGGAGGCCCAAAGACCGCAGAAAGCGGCCCAGCCCGCCTGGCCATTCCGCAGATGCTACCCTCCTCTCGCAGAATGCGAGACGCAGATGCGGTCCCCTAACCGCAGATGCGGAATCGCTGAAGCAGTGCCTTCATTTTAATATTTGGAATGTGTCATTTTTGACACATTTCCACCATGTTGGGCGATTTGGGAGCTTCCAAAGAGAGGATTCCACCTAGCATCTTGAGGTAAGTTTAATGCTACTTATTTCTAGTTTAATACTGAGTCCCCCCTGGGTAGATTTTAACACCACAAAGATTAGGGAAAATCATGGGGATTAGAGAAAGTCTAGGGTTTGATAAACTTTGTTATGGAATGCAAGTTTAAAAAATCATATTACTGATTTGATCCTAAGGTTTATAAGAGAACAAACTTTTTTTTCTTCGAAAAAATATCGGAAATTCCCGCGGGCACGTGGGCCCGGGGTTGGATTTTAGGAAACTTGTGTTTAGGTTGGGAAATTACTTTAGTTAAGTTAAAAAAGCAAACCTCTGAGCTTGTATTGACTAGTATCCTACCTTCGTTTAATTAGTTTCGATCAGTGCGGCTCCTCCAATTTGAGGGTTGAGCACGTTCTTGATATTGGAGTACGTTTGGAGCGAGGTTGCAGTCTCCTTTCTAACCTTGTAGAGGGAATTGTTCCCTTAGGCCGAGTGTTTAATTGGATCATGCATTGCTAATTGGTGGGGGACTACGTAACGCACGAGGTGACGAGAGTCTAGTGCGTAGCTTTACTATTATGTTAATGGTACGCCGGTAGTAAGAACCAGCGTATCCCATACTATGGTTACCCCGTCATGTCAGCCTCTTAGTTGTCGATGCGGTCCAGGACATGCACCCACGATACCATGCTATACAGCCCAGAAAATGAACTAGTGACTCCCCTGTGGAGTGACTACGACCGTCGCACTAACTCTCCCTACCCTCGCCTTAAAAGAGGGCGTTTCTCGCTATATACTACCGCTCCGACACCACCTGGCCCGATCCCACTCTCAGCACTGTCCCTCTGCCCGAGTAGTGTCTAGCGCCCATGCCAGCGGTCTCGTACTGCACCGCGCCGGTGTCACCTGTCACTGCTTCTCTCCCCGGTACTCAGCCGCGCTGTGACCTACGAACCTTCTCATCTTTCTCCATACCACGCCTATCCACGCAGTAATAACGTTCTCGCCAGTCTTCGCAGCAGAGCTGCACGGGCCGCCGCTCATCGCAGCTCAGTGGCGCCTCTCGCCCTTACATTTCCGTCGACAGCCGGGTTACGCTTCCCCTGACGGACTGGGTATGTCTAAATGGCGTATCTTGTCGCAGACGCCCTCCTCGTCCACGACCTCTTCCGCGTCTGTCGCGACTCCCTACGCACACGAGTAAGACTGTGCGAGCAGCGTGAAATAGTGCTATATCCTTGATGTCCAATTGGAGATCACTTAGGAACTTGTTAGAAGATTGGAAATAAATGTAATAGAACGCATGTAACTCACTTGAATGAACTGTGTATGAAGTTTATTGTGACTCATGACTTGTTGCCTAGTGCCCTCTCTGATGATGACTTATATTTGCTGGATCGGGTGCACTCACGATCGCGCCGTGCTGTGGGTTAGAAAATTTATGCATCTATGGTATCGCGCCCATTTTCGACTCCGCTCATTGCGCCCTCAAGCCTGGCAAATTTCTTTTATTGTGTTGGACCGTACTGTCCTCGCCTACGACCCATAGCGTCATAACTATGTGGCCGAGCATCATGTGCCTATATTCTACGCCTGATTCCGCTCTTATATATTCGTACTGACCTTAGGTCTTGCTCCTAACATCCCAGCGCGACCCGGAATGTAAAACTGGGCATACACTACCGCGCCTTATTATCTAGGTGAATTGCTTCTCTTTTCCCAGTGCTGATACGCGACATTTCGGCCTATTAATATGTGACATCCCGTGCGTAGTCCGTATAACACTCTTCTATATATTAAATGACTCCTAAGTAGAGTGTCAAGTGACGACCGTCTCGTCCTTTACTTTCTTCCGCAGATTCGCACGGAGAGTGGATACTTACTGGGTACATTAATCGTGCTGTCTCTCGTTACTCATACTCGGTATTACTGCTGCCTAGTACTCTTAATTGGCTCTACAGGAGATCTTGCGTAGACCTACTCTGTTGTTATGAGTGCCTCCACGGATACTCACCACTCTACCTGACACAAGCTCACTTGGTACATCTGGTAACCAGTCCGTTGCGCACACTTGATCGTAGGTCCGAGAGTTCCACCGGTGACTACTGCTTCCCTTTCCTAATGCGTCCGCAATAGCTGTGCATGGGAGGTCTTTCTGTCTACTTTTTGGCTGTCTATTCTAGTTCAGAACAGTAGATAGATTTACTTGTTGGTATTCTACTAGATGCCCCATTATACTTGTGACTACGTAGGTCTGTGCCAGCACACAAACATTAGTTAGGACTATTCTTTGGGTATTGATATAACTTTTTATGGTACGTGCTTAACTTATCGCTTGTTTTTAAATTCAAAATTTACAGATCATGTAACTATTTTTGGAAAGTAAAAACTAACCTTATTAATATTTCCGCGTTTGTTGCCTGACAACGTGTTGGGGCGGCCACCACGGGCCTGAAGTGAATTTTGGGTCGTTGACAAGTGACCTTTGTGATATCAGTCGGTTCGGATTTTCGATTTCTGAAGTTTGGAGTAGGTCCGTAATGTCAACATGTGCTTAGTCTGTGCCAAATTGTGAGGTCGGATCGGACAGATTTGATAGGTTTCGGCAGATGAATGTGGAGGTTAGAAGTTTATAAATTCATTAAAGCTTGAATTGGAGTGGCGATTTATGGTTTAGCGTATGTTTATATGATTTGGAGCTCTACTAAAGTTTGTATGAGTTAGGACTTGTTGTATCGTTTCGTGGTTGAGGCACGAAGGGCCTCGACGGTGAGTTTCAGATGGTAACAGATCATTTTTGAACTTGGTGTTATAACTGAAGATTTGACTGGTGCACTGATCTGGTTTCCTTCAGTTTGATTCGTGGGATTGTTACGCGATCGCGAGGTTTTTCTTGGTGGATTGAGTTTTTCTAATATACGCATTTCGCAGAGAA